CACTTAGCTGGAAAACATTTTTGGTGTAAGACCTGGCTGTAATCACCCCAAAGGCCCTTTTTCATGATAAAACCAAAACAATCAGGTCAAGTGGAGCCTGTTGAGATATCAGATCTGGCAGTATGGGCACACCAAGTCTGGCTCATGCATTAGGCCAGGCTCAGACTGTGGTGGGAAGGGAGCATGCACCCACTGTTGCCAGGCAGTTGCTAACACAAGTTTAGCTCTTATCAATGTCTGCTCCACCATAGATCTCCATGGGTGGCAGGGGGGGCCGCCCTGCCGTCTCACCACAGGATACAGGGGGGTCTCTGCTCCGGCACACCTCCCCCCTCCTTTCTTCCTCCGTTCCTCCACTGACCTTGGTGTTCACGCAGCTGCAGCAACTCCTCCTCACAAGTCTGACTGCCCGTCACCACGTCCCTTCTTAAATACGTTATCGCAGAGGCGCAGCTGATGGGCTCAGTTTTGGTGCAGAGGTGGAGTTGACTTGGAGCTGGGGGAGCTTCCAGAAGCTTCTCACAGGGGGATGTCCCTATAGCCCGCTCCACTCACTCAACCCAGGACATGGCCTTATCTCAGTTGGGACTATCAGGTATGCTTTACAGTATGTCAGGACTAGCAACAAACTCTGGGACATGAACACACGCGCATGTTGGTAGTCTGGGTTAATTCATGTACATTGTCATATGTTTCTCATGTTTTCTGAATGTTGAGGTTCACCAAAGTCAGTGGAGGCTCTGGAAAAAAAACCCCACACCTCAAAACCAGTGCTTGACTGGGCCTGGTGCATCAAAGCCAGCATGAAGTCTTACGAAACCCTGGCTAAAAGGGGTCTTTTCCTGCAGTGGGGCTGTGAGCATGAGGGTTTCTTGTGAGCTCTGGGCATTACTTTGTGCTTTCCAGAAAGCAACAGCATGGCCCCAGGCCACCCAGGCTGCTGCCTGGATGTGACTGGCCCAATCCAGCCTGTTTTAACAAAAAAACAGGCCTTACCCAGTCAGGAGTCAGGCATCTGCTGGGACTGCAGGATCAGGCCCCAAACCCTGGAAATGAAACACAACTCAGTCAAAGGCGACAGGAAAACAAAGTCACCTGGAAAGTGTTAGCTGTTCAAACCAGGGGCTTAGGGGGACCCTGATTTAATCTTTTTATAGTATAAAAATTTTGTGGCTGAATTAGAGCCCTACTGTTTGGACTGGATGATGTTACCTAATTCTCAGAAACGAGAGCAGCTGGCTGCAGTGCAGATACCTCCTAGCAAGCCCTGCAGTGAACAGCACATTATTTAGCAGGGCTGTAAAAGAAAGGACATTTATTAGGGGTTTTGAGAGTGAAACTTAACGTGCTGGCTTGGCTTTTAGTTGGCCGGATTTAATTTCCAGCTCTTCTGTTTTATTTTCTACCTAAATAAATAAATAAATTAAACCTTCTACCACCTTCCCTAACTGCTTTTTAGCATGCCTTTGGGCAAATCCTATGCTGAGAGCCTGGGGAGCCTGATGTGAATGTTGTTAACCTTTTGGTGAAGTAGCTAAACAGGCAAAGGTCCTGGCAAAATCCACTTTTGGGAGGATCTGGAAAAAGAGGGCAAGTGGCAGAAGTGTTAAAAATCACCTGATTTTTGGTAATTTTCACTGTGAGGCAAAATGAAAACAAAACAATGTCCCAAGGCCACCAAATAATGTGAATTTTACAAACAATTATTGCCGTTTACTGTTCCTTCTTCTTCCTGCCTTTCACCCACCTCTACGCCCCAGTTGCTTAGGCTGGCACCATTAGGGTCACCATTTCTTCATTGCCTTTGCCTTTTTTCTTTCTACAGTGGGAAAAAAGAAGCAATAATTTTGGGGTATGGTTTCCTCTATTTAGCTACATGACAGATTTCCTTGCTGATGTGGTTGCGAAAATGGACCTCAAACTCATTCCGATGGTCTTGCCCCACTTTGAACTGGTGGAAGGTGACACTGGCTGCTCTCACACAACCTGTCCTGGCTTTCTCACAGCATCTAAGTCTGCTGGCAACATCAATGTGTCAATCATCCACCCATAGATGATGAGGCTAAGAAATAGCTGATTCTGGATTTTTTAATGCTGTTCCCCAAAGTGATGAAAAGCCCTTTGGAAAATATGTCTCTGGGTGTGCCAGTCAGTGGTGCTCCAAAGCCTGTCAGGACCTGGGGACTCCAACTTTTGTCTCAGGGAACTTCTCACTTAAAAATAAAATAGTGTAAAAAAATCCAGGTTATTTCATTCATAGTATCTAGAGCTAAATAGTTAAGGTAAATAGATAAACTTTAAGTAAAATACTTTTAAAAAGCATGCAAATGTAAGTACTTGAAATGTTAAAGTATTTAATCTATAACTTCAATTTTGAGAGTCCTGGAGATGCACATGGTGGCACTGAGGTAACAAGAGCTTCCATTCTTCCACACTTTGGAAATCAGTTTATTTACTTATAGGCCCACTCTTATTTTGCCATCCCTTCCTGTGCTAGATAATACATCTGCAGTACTTTCCACAAGAAATACGTGAATGCTTAGCAGGTGTTGCTGGGGTTCTCTATCCCTGTATTTGGTGTTTTAAGTTTGAATCGCCTGATCCTTTGCTTTCCCTATGCTGGCAGATAGGGGATCACACCAGCAGTGTGCTGGGCTACTAAAGTGAGTGCTCTGACCAGCACTTGTGGGAGAACCCCAGGGAGTGGGATGCAGCTTTCCAGCCTCTCCACCATGATCACTGTGGCTTTGCTCCCTGACTGTGCAATTGCCAACATTTTCAAAGCATGCCTGTTTTTCTCCTGGCTGAAAGAGCCTTGCAGATTTTGGGAGAAGAGCCAGTACAGAGGAGGGCATATGCACCTGTGTCTGACACTGACTAACTGGGTGCTGGTAATTCATCACTTCAGTATTAATGAAGCTGGGCAGGATCCGAGCAGCAGTGTCGTCAGGCGGGCAGAGTCCCAGCAGCACACTGAGAAACTAACAGCAGCACGAGAAAAGCACCAGGGGCCGTATCCTGGCTCTGGGAGCTAACGTGCTGGCTTCAGCGGGAGCCATGTGCACATAACTGCTGCCAGGGGACAGGCCCAAAAGTTTAGTATTTCTCCGAATGAAGTATAAAAGTAATTATGAGCTTGGCCTGGGGCACTTGGGGCTGAATTTGCAACCATCTGGTGTTAATGGCCTGAAGTGAAACTTCAGGCAAAGGTTTCATTTTGCTTATTATTTGTCAGGAAAGTCCCTGGCCAGTAACTGCAGCTTTCCTCATTAGCAGTGGAGCTTCATACCTGCTGCCTTGCTGAGGGACTGGGGGTTGCAGCAGTCCCGATGTTTCTCTGCTTTGACTTTAAGCAAGCAGTACCAAGCATTGATAGCGAGGGACTGTTCGGATACCTTAGAGGAATTAAGAAGTTGAATATAATACATATTCACCCACCTTTTTCACTTCACTAACATTAAATTTAATCTCCCTAAGACCCTGTGCCCACGAGCCTATTGAATGGCTCTGCTCCTAAGACAAAAAGTTTCTATGCTGAAATGTACTCCCAGTATTGCCTATTCATGAGAAAAAGCTGGGTTTAGGCTCTTTGTTAATACAAATCTCAGCCCCTTTCAAGGTCAGGACTGGCTAGAAGGACTAGGTGGAAAACATATATTTTGTAAATTCCAACTGAAATTTTGCAGACAAAGCCTTCCCATCCCAAATGGTGGGGACAGATAGTTTCTGAAAGGACTCTCATTAGTCTCCTAACTGCGCCGCACTGGAGCTCTTCATCTGGGAGCAACCAGTCACCAGTGCCAAGAGGTGCCTTGGGCAAACAGAGACACAGAAGACCATGACATAATCATATATGTTGGTAAGAGGAACCATAAAGATAGCAAAAGTGGCAAACAAGATATCAGGCTTGCCTGAGAACTCAAAGCAAAACTCCCCTGCTTACTAAAATTTCTAAAGGAGACTTTTAGTCATTGCTGTGCAGCCCAGAAGGTAGAGAGTGAGCGTTACTCACTAAGCATGAGAAATTTGAGTAAGAAATGGCACAGAGCTATTCATCCTACTTCTGCACAGACATTCAGGCATCTCCATTAGAAATGTTGGGTCAAAACTCAAATGTTCCACATGGGAAATGTCTCTCTTCTCTGCTTTCCTCTATGTGGTCCAAGTACAGCAGCTGAAATACAGCTTGTGAAGGCCATCAGAGTTGTGTTTCTGGATCAGAATAAGTTTTCAGCACAAATACTTTTATTCTTCCTTTTACCAAATTAAAAATAAAATTCTCGGGACAGGGAGGTGCTTATCTTGCTTATCTTCAAACTGCCCAGTAACTGCATTGCCACAGAAGAAGCAAGAAAACTAGAGATGAAAAATCACTTAAAAAACCTACTTTCCCCCTGAAATCTCAGCTTCCCAAAGCCTTTGCCAGCCATTCCCCCTGTAACCCCACATTAGACTCTCTCCCCTTAGGGTGGGTTGTCATGCCATGGAAAATGCTGGGGTTTGCAGCTCTCCATGGTAGGTCCTAATCACTGCGATCACACTGAGGAGCTTATCTGACCCTTAACCTTCACGGTATGTGACCATGCTGATAGTCCTCTTGATGTTTTTGAACAAGTTTTGCATGAGGTCACCCTTGGCAAGGCAGCGTGATAACTTGCCACGTATTTGCTGTAAGCTGTCCCATCTGCACACTACCAGTGAAAATGCCCTTGATTTTTTGCACATTACCTCCTCTGAGGTTTTGAACTTAGCTGATGTAGAAATTTCCAGAGGTAAAATTTCGGTCTTTAAGGTGCAGAACATAATCCTGCTGATCACTTTCTCTCTCCTCTTTGTCCCCCTACCACAACTGTCACTCACCAGGAGGCCCATGCTATGCTCTGCTTTTATTCATGTAGTTGTGGCTTATTTCAAGACCTAATGGGGGGAAAGCATCCCCATGCCAGCACAGCCTCAGCTTTATGTTGCCATTAAACTAGCACCATTATCTTTTCCTGCAGTTTTTGCCAGAATCCTGAAGGCTCCTGAATCCCAAAATATCACCTTTGGGTCTGTGGTGACGTTACGGTGCACGGCAACCGGCCTTCCAGTCCCTACCATCACCTGGCTGGAAAATGGGAAAGCTGTAAGTGCCTCTTTTTTCATGCTTTTGTCCCTGGCGGGCTGTTAGCATCCTGAAAGTGCAGCCCAGGGATTAAAATGTGGGGCTGGAAGCCAGTGCTTGTAGTTTTTATTCCTGCCATACTTAGCACCTCACTGTGCAATCAAGTTGATCCCGCCTTGTCTGCCTGCTGCAGTTTTCTCCTCTGCAAAACACTCTCCCCCTTCTCCAGGGTGTTGCATGGGTTAATTTGTAAGGGCCTGGAAAGCCTGAGATGAAGGATGCTTTAGATACTTATAGCCTTCCTCTAAGCCAGGGTTTCTAGGACTTCATCATGTGTTTAAGTATTTCTGCAGCCATCTTTCCTCTCCTTTCCCCTAATGTGGTAACAATACCATGGTGAAATTGCTTATTTGACAAAATAGCACATACTGAGGTAGTTAGGTAGAGTAAGCTGTCTTGAGGTTTTGCAGATTAATAGATCTGAAATTTTCTAGACTGAGCTAGGTGACACACTGAAATATGTCACTAATTTATTCCTGGCTAGAAGCATGTCCTCAAGAAAGGCACAACCTCTTCTGCAGCAGGCACCAAGAGATGCAAATCCACTGCTTCCCACAGGAAAATATTCTGTGGTGTAATTATCCTGACCATTTTAAATAGATACCTGCTTTGAATTTGTCTGGCTTTCATGTCCGTGTGTAGGCTACTGCAATGCCTTCCCTTCAGCTGAACTAAAGAGCTGCTTGACACTCGATATTGTGGAGTGAGAAGTGCACTACAGTCACAGCAGCTCTGCAGCCTGAGCTTGCCATGGGTTTCCTCCAATCTTCATATTGTTATGGTGGACATGTTTTGTACTCTCTGTGGTCTTTCAACAGCTTTTTTAAGGATGTGAGCCCTAGGGTGTGATGCTATGGAGGCAGGTGGAGCAGCTGCTGTGTCAGGCTGGCAATTTGCCTCCGCTCTTTCTTGCTGACCCCCTGTCCACCCCAAGTCCTTCTGGCCACTGGCTGGCCGTGGTCATTCCCGTGGACTTGTTTTTCCAACAGGACTGATAAACCCTCTTTCTCAAGTTCCTTACTTCAGAAGGCTATCCCTATCCTGGTCTTTATCCCTTCTTTCCATGTATTAAAATACATTATTAAGAAGCCTGAGCTACTCTGCAAGCTGTCTTGCCTTCCTTATCATATCCAAACCTTATTCTGTCCTCCAGTTTGATTAGGGCTTATTTTCTATATTCCCTTGAGGTTGCTAGGGAGAACAATGAAGGTATCAGGTCAGCCTCCGCAGACAGCCGTGGGTCCCTTGTAGTTTCTGGTGATAATTATTTTGAGACAACTGCAGGTGTTTATTCAAGATTTCTTACTCATGGGGGAAGAAGTTTTTTGGGGGGTCTGGAGTCTCTGACAAGGGCAGAGTATTTCCAGAGCACAGACTCCTGCTCTGCCAAGCTCCCACTGGTGCATCAGTCCCACAGAGAGCTGTGTGTGAAATGATGGTCAGCCCCTGCCCAGAGCCACTGCCTGGCTGGTCATATCTTCTCTGCCCCATTCCTGCCTGCAAGGAAAATCCCGGTCCCAGGAGAGTGGTGCTCCAGATTGCCTCATTTTAAATATGGCAAGGACACCTTAACGAGAGCCCATCTCTGGGAAAGTCAGGCCAGGAAGCGGGTGGTCTGGAGCATGTGCGTTTGAGCGCTGGCTCACAAGCAAGCAACAGTGAGTCATTTGAAGATGCAACATGCCTGTGGCATTACAGTCTCTGAAAGCCAACCTGTAATTGTCCTGAGGTTTAAATAGTGGGAATCTGCTGAGGTTATTGAGCTGCCTTTGAAGAGAAGGATGGAAACTCTTCTGCACAGCAGCTGCTTTGCCTACCTAAACAGAAACACAATTCCTTTTCCTCCCGCTATGCATCAGGAGGCACTATGGACCTCAAACCATCTGCACTGCAAAGTGAGCCAGGTCTGAAGATATGAAGAGGTCTCTGTTTTGGTGGTGGATGAGGTGTCATTTTAAAGTCTAAAAGAAGGCCTGCTGGAAACGGAATCCCAGGGAACGTATTTGAGAAAGGAAGGGAATCATTTAACACAAGGGAATGGCTGGAGGTTCCCAGTAGAAGAAACAACAGCTGGTCAGTACGGAAGTCCTAGGCACAATTACCTGACATTTTCACCTGTGATTTTCCATGGTGCATGTGACCATGTGTACTGCTCGTACTGCTCGCAGCTGCTGGAGTGCCCTTTCCCTCCCGCGGTCCAAGCCCGGAGGAGCAATCCTGGCTCTCTGTGTTCACCAGGCATGGTGCAACACTGCTGGGAGGGGAGCAACAGGATGGGGTACACCTGAAGGCCTGAGGGATAAGCAGGGAGAGAGGACTGGATCAGCACAAGCGGCCCAGGGGAAGTGGCCACCTCTCCTGGGTGGACATTGGGAGGGAGGGGCAGCTGGTAAAGAAATTCTTCCTTTCCCCTCAGCTCCCATCTCCCTGAATTGTCTTCACAGCATAAGGCCAAAGAATATCCTTGATCCCTGCATTTGCACTGTGGATGGCATACCACACATCCCTGATATGATACTTACAATAATTGTGTTGGTCTGGTTATTTAGTGTTTTCTTCCCATGAGCATTCCCCCGCCACAACTCCAACTTGAGTGTGAGTGAGGCAAAACAAATATATAATTCTCAACACTTTCTTTTCACAGAGAAACTAATCTTTACTAAAGACATGATACAACACTGACACATATCTTCTTGCTTTTCAATTATCACTGTTAATACCTTTGGGAACAAATACAGGTCTCATCGAAACCATATTTCTGATAACCTCCAGAGAGGTCATATTTATCTCTCTAACCTCTCAGATAGATGCATAGGTACAGTGCTTTGCTGGGATGGATCCAGGGAGACGAATCTTAATGTCTTTAGGGCCATGTTGCACCAGTGGAAACCATGGGCAACCACATCTCACTTGAATTACACTTGATGCTTCCCATTGGTATGAAGGCAATGCTGCTCCTTCCTACGGCTTTTGCAAGGTGGAGTCTTGATGTACCATGTCCTCCTACTTGCCATATAAGCAGGAAAGACTTGAGAATAAAACCAAGCCCAACTGGCCAAAATCAGATGGTTCCAAGCACATTTACCTGGGAATTTCTGACCTGTGAAAAATGCTGGCCAAAATCACCATATCTGCAGCCCTTTCCATATTTCCAGGTGTGAGGTAAGAAAATCTATCAGATATCTGCCAAGGTGTCAGAATGAGAACAATTGCTTTGCTCAGGACTGCTTTGGAAGTGTGGCAGTGGTTATAGTAATCCAGATTCAACAATTTCCACACTATTTTATTTTCTCCCTCTGTATAGCCAGGGTCCACAAAGCCACCTTGTGCCCTTCCTTATGAAGGCATGAATAGCCAGACAATCTGCTAAAAGAAGTCCTGGAGTAATTAGCCAGCTCTCTAGAACTGCCAGTAAATTGCAAAAATATTGATGAAGTGTGAAATAGGAGAGGTCTTGAACATTTTCTTTTGTCTGTGAAATCAGCTGCTATGAAAGCATCAAAATAACGCCAGCAGCTTTAGCTCTCTGTCACTTCTATCTGCTTGCTACATCATCCTCTGCTGATTTAAATGCTTGGGGCTGAGTGGATTTCTTGGTTTGTTTGTTTGCCTTTGTTGGAAATATCACTGCACTGGCCTTTTTGCTCCCTTAGATTTCTGCAGGTTCCATAGCAGAAAGCGTCAAGGACAGAGTGGTTGACTCCAGACTGCAGGTGTATGTCACTCGACCTGGCCTGTTCACTTGTCTTGCCACGAACAAACACAGCAAAACTTTTGGAGCCGCAAAAGCTGCGGCAACCATCAGTGTTTCAGGTATGCTGGGAAAGAAGGGGTCATTAGTTTTTTATCCTGGTAATCGCAAGTCCTGTCTTCCCTGCTGGTGGAGAGGAAAGGGGGCGTGAAGTACTCTGAAGGAGGAGGGAAAGCCTTGAGGAGCTGATAGTGTGCAGGGGGCTAAATTTGAGTACAAATACATCCCCCACCAGGCTATTTCCTCATATATTCTTACACTTTGGAGACTGGCACAGCTGTCATTTCCTGAATGTTTGATGCTGTCCTGTACTTTGTGTCCCAGAAGTACACTTGGTAAGTTCATCCATGCGGAGGAAGTCATGGCCATAACCCAGAGTTGGTATCACCTAACAGCAAGGTGAAAATAGCTTTCGTGAGCAGTTCATCTTCTCAGCGAGTTTCATCCAGAAAGCAGGGAGGTTGCTGTCAGAATAGTATTCCGCTGGGCCTGGGGTAACCTCTGCTCCCAGGGACATCTCCCAAGTAGGGACAGGATGATCCAAAGAGGAGAAATACCCATGGTCTGAGCTAGCTGACAGCATTTGCCACACCAAGAGAAAAGTGGCAGCTTGTGCCCTCCCTCTTGGGACAGGCAGGGGGATTTAGTTAGACTCAAGTGGAATCACCCAGGACTCCAGACACAGGGTGGTAGCCCTGGTCCTGCTGTTAACCAGGCATTCACCTGCCCCTCTCTCTGTGCCTCAGCTTCTGGTCTGTTGAGAAAATAACCATGCCTTTTCTTACAGTGGGCAGTGAGACCCACCAACAAGCTTTTCCCCATAAGAGACTCAGAACTTGGTACCATATTTCGCGTTGACACTTCTGATTTTAGCCCAGGCAAGGCTCTGCCCCGTGAAGCAGGTAGGGCAGGTCATTTAGACTGGTGGGAGAAGCTGAACTGCTCTCCTTCAGACCGAGTGTGCTCAGCAAAAGGGGAGTAGCCCCCCAGACCTGAGTAGGAGCCTGCCTTTTCCTGCTCCCAGCTCCCAAGGGTCCCAGAGGAGAGGAGTCCCAGTCCTTGGCTGATACCCAGGGCCTCCTCCCTGTGCCAGTGCAGCCCAGATCGCCACGGTACTGCAAGCGGGGACATGGCTGTGTGCCTGTGCTGCACCTCCAGCCCTAGTTTCTCCAACCTGTTACAGCTGCTGCTTGCAGGAATGGGTGCATGAGAGGCTTAAATAGAGGATGCTACCTGCCGGTTACATAGCACCCAAAGGATAAGGGTAAAGGTGTGGGTTTAGGGTGCAACATTCCAGCTCAGCAAGAACTGCAGTCAACAACCCACTTCCTCCTCCTCATTCCCTCTCCCTGTACTGTGTCTAGTGTTGCCCAACTCTTCTTCCCTACAAGAAGACGCAAAATAAGGACAGAATTTAGCTGCATCTTTTTCAGACAGCTTACAGGTCTCAGAGATTTCCTAGCATGGAAATCTTAACTCCCACATCTCAGAGGGGGTCATGAAGTGTCACTGATGTCTTTTCCATTTCTTCTTTCTCCTGGCTCATCATGATTCGTTGATTCCATGCCTCTCGGCAGAATGGAGGTAAGAATGACTTTCTGTGGCAGCCTGGGGGTTTTATCTGGGCCAGGGAGGAGAGGAATGTTGAATCAAGGGAATTTGGTTAACTTGGCTTAAATGAAGTGAGCAGGTTTCTGGATGCCAAGCATGCAGATGAGGTTCACCTGAAGAGAACACCAAGCTGCTTTATACAGGCATAATTGGAGACTAGGCCCAAGTAGATCAGGGTGCTTCTGTATCAAGCAAGCAGTGGATCACACATGAGTAAGGGTGTTTAAAATATGGAGGTAGCCAGAATATTCTGGAGTATATTCTGCTCACAGTTATAAATCTGCAACTTCAGTGACCTTCTAAATTTACAGGCAAAAGCTTAACTGCAAGTTAAACTCCTGTCTGTACACAGCCAATAAATATATTTTGACTTGGTGATCACCACGTTAGGGCAGGAGAAGTTTAGATATTTGTTCCAAGCAGAGTTATGGATGAGTAAAGCCACTGGTATGTAATCACACATGTACATTTGCTCAGTATTTTTGGGAGTACTGAACAATTTGGCTGGCTTTTTCTTTTTAGAGTCCTAGCATATTTCTACATGTTGCACTGGCAAATCAGTCTGGGAGGAAAATGAGAGGGATAGCCTGGGAGTTACTGGCCCTCAGAGAAAAGAGCAGAGCCTGAGAAAGTCCAAGCAAATGGCTTTGCCACTCTGCTGACACAGGCTCCCTGTGAAGGCCCCTGCCTCCCTCACAGGCGCTTACAAGATTGATTCAGGAAGTTTGTAAGTGATTTAGTGACCACCTGATGATGATGGCAGACTTATGCCTTACACCTGCACCCGTGTAGGTGTGACAGGCATGGGAACAGTGATCAATTGCTCAGCCCTTCTGTCCCACAGTTGTTCTCAACATTTACTGCATGAGATTCCCTTTCTGTGATAAGGCATTGTGAGAAATACATTGATGCTGCTTTTCCATCTCAGCCTGGTCTGTGTCTCCCTGCAGATTTTAAAAAGGCAAAGAAACACACTATTAGCACTGGTGACTCTTGTCGGGCTACTTCTGCAGCCCACTGAAGTCAGCAGCACAGCTGCCCCATGCATGCTTATGCCCTCTTTTACCTCTTGGTGCACAGGAAGGACACACCTTTCAGATTAAGCACAACAGGAATCATCAGGAAAATGTGGATAATGTGACTCCTGCCATACCAAGGACAGCTCTAGCAGGGTGCTGGGGGCAGCACAGTGCTGTGTGGAAACCTGCTCCGTGGCCAGGAGATGTCACAGGCTGTGGGATGGGTGCAGGATTCTGGGGGGTGCCTATGTTACATGAAGGTGTGTCCGTAGATCCTGGGGTGATGCAGGGTGTTACAGCATCACTGCCATTTTGGTTCTACCTCAAAGAATCGGTGCCTTCCTGTCTCTTTTAGCCAATGTGACATAGAGGGAAAAAAAAAAATTAAAAAAAAATATGACATGGACCCCAAAGTAGTGCAGCTAAACCAGGTTCAGAGAGTGCGATCTGCAGAGAGTGGCATCTGAAAAGCAGAAATTTGGGCATCCTGTATAATCCTTTGTCCATATACCTCCAGCTTTCCAAAGAAAAACAGCAAGAACCTCCAGGGTTGACAATGGGCAATTATTTGGGCAGGGTAAAGAAATAAAAGGCAAAGATACAAATAGCTCTGCTGGCTACTCCAAATGGTTGGCGTGTTGTGAACTGAACTCCCTGACCCCAGTTACAATGACCGAATGAGCAATGGGGACAGCTGCACCCAGCCCTTCTCCCTTCCCGATTCGGCCATCCCCCGCACCCAGAGGAGGCTGTTTTCCCAGGTTCCCCCCGCCCCAAGGGCACTGCAGCCCACAGGCAGCCTCAGCAGAGGGCACATCCTCACCCACAGACCTTGCTGCCGTGGGGTGGCTGTGGGAGCTGCTGGGAGCACAGCTGACTTGTGCATGCCCTCGCCCTGCTGCTCCCCTTTGATGGCCACGGGGAAGAAGGGAGGGAGGGATGACAGCTGTCTCCTGCTAGTATGCGAAAAACATGGGAAGGATAAATAAATGGCCCACAAAGGAGCCAACCCTGCTGTGCTTTTTATTGCTCTGGCATAGCTCTGGTCCCATGCTTTGTGGCAGGAGTTTGCAAACTGGGAGATATGGCGAAGAGAGGAGAGGGTGGACCTCGCAGGGAAGCACCAGAAGGAAAACTGCAGAGGCTTGTACCTTCCTCCTCCCTGTGTGTCCCACCTAAACATGCATGGAAGAGAGGCAGGGTCAGTAGGGGTGCAGGAGCTGAAGAGGGGAAGGCAGGAGCTTTGCTGGTCTGATCTTGCTGGTCTGATCCTGGCATGTGTTGGGTGGGTCTCACCTGGCTCCTGCTCATTGGGTCCATACAAAATTAAACTATTACTAGGCAGCAGAGCAAAAAATCCCAAGTTATCACAGGTGTGCAGAAAGTATCACAGCTGATATCTAGTGCAGGGAATCAGGAAGACAAATCTTTTTCCCATTAGGGCCTGGGGGCAGGGTGAGGGCCCATGCTAGATCATGGTTGTGCATGATCACTCAGTCTTTTTACCCACTTAAAATGCTAGCAACCCTCGGCTGGAACCTCAGCCTTGGAATTGATCAGGAGGGCCCCATGCTCACACTGAGGTTCCTTGCAGAAGTTTAATTTTTGGATGGTATTAGCTGTTTTTATTGGTTATAGTCATCTACCATGCCCTCTGACCTCTGTTAGCTTTTCAGATGTCACTTCATTCAGAACAGAGCGTAGGCATCTTGCTCGTGCAGGTGTTCAGGGCTGTGAGTTTACTGTGTATGCTCTTGTCACTGACAGCAAGCTGTACAAGGGTGATGCAGGCTACTGCAGCACATACAGAGGTGAGGTGTGTAGCACTATCTTGGCGAAGAATGCTCTTGTTTTCTTCAACTCCTCCTATGCTGACCCAGAGGAGACCCAAGAGCTGCTTGTGCACACTGCTTGGACTGAACTGAAAATGGTGAGTTCATTCTGCCAACCAGCCGCTGAGTCTCTGCTGTGTAACTACATCTTCCAGGAGTGCAATCCCTCGGGAGCTGGGCCAGCTCCAAAACCAGTGTGCAGGTAAATTAAAAAAAAAAAAAAAAAAAAAAAAAAAAAAATTTGCTTATCTTTCACTTTTATTTTGTGGGATGTGTAAGGCAGCAAGGGATTGGTGAGGGTCTGTCCAGACCTGCAGTAGCGCTGAGTGAAAATAGGCCCTCTAGGTTTGCATGAGTTTTCCCTTTGCTCTCTTCACTGTACACACAAAGAACTGATCCAGCTCTCTGTGTGCTCTTTGCTAGGGTAAAGACTGACTTTCAGGCCCAGATGTCTGTGTTATATCAGGCTTTTAGTGGACAGTGTTGAAAAGAAATATCTATTTGAATGACATAATTGATTTAAATAATTAATATATTGCTATCTGTTAAATCTCACTAGGTCAGTATGTACTCATTATTACTACAACAGTAATTGCTTGTTTAGAAATTTGACTAAATATGGTCACAACGCATTCAACAAATCTGGCCACGGCAATACATTAATCATTTAGCACTTCCCACCACGGTGAAGATGACCAGAAACACTGCCAGTGTAATTGTACCTGCTAAACCAAACCTCCCATCTGGTTCTTGTATCCTCCCATATGTGGAGAAATGTGCATTGAAACAGGGCTGGCAGGGACCCCGAGGAGTCCAAAGCATCTCCCACTGCAGCTAATATGCTGCTGACAGGTGTTTGTGCAACACGTCCCAGCAACAGAGACACTGCTCCCTCCCCATGCAACCTCCCGAGCAGCTCTTCCCCCATTGCCCCTTGTCCTCCCACCATGGCCACGGAGATGAGTTTCTTCCCTTCCTCTTTGCAATGAGATTGGATGTCTTCCCCAACTTCTCAGACTAGAATAAAGCAGCTTTTTCCAAGCTCTGCTCATAGTTCTTGCTTTTCCAGACTCTGAAGATTCTGCTCCTCATCTTTACTTAAGTGCTAAATATATACAGCCTCCAGCCCAGGTTTTGTTACTGTATAACAGAACAATGATTGCTTGGTGTGCTCTGCGGAGGACAGCCCCAGGTAGACATCTCAGGGTGAATCTCATTCTTCTTAACACAACTGTCGGCCACAACTGATCAATGTTCATTTTCTGCCCCTGGAAGATTGTTGTCTAGTTATTAGCCATTTCACATTTGGGCAGCTGACATCCCTGCCTAAGTGCATTACTTTGCTCTTGTACTCCATCAACTGAATCTTAAAACAGATTTTTCAGATTTGTTTATCGGGAGAGTAGCCCCAACTGTAGTGTCTCAACAAAAATGCAAGTCTTCTCTGCAGACACGGCAAGCATGCTGCCAGCTGGACTTGGGCCAGATGTAGTCCACTGGCAATTATTTTCACAGTTATGTAGGGACTTTTTAGGACAATCAGCAGCATGTTGCCTTTGTAATCTGGACCTTTCTGATTGCTCCTCCTTTAATATCTCTAAAACAAAGGCACAGAGGAATATCCCAGTATGAAGCTTGACAATACATTGTGTTCTCTATTTTGTGCCTATTCTGTTCGGTACTCCTCTGCCAGCACAGTAGTGACATACATCCTACAGAAGAAGTGTTATGTGCAAGTATCTATAGATAATCATGCAGCCAAGTACTGAAACTTGCTTTTTGCTGGCAGACTCCTTTCTGCTGCCTTGTTGTTCTGCTCTTTGTCATTGTGCCCTTTAGTACATGATCTCTCTGCCTTTTTTCAAGATGTGTGACAGTATTTATATCTGAGCTATACATGCACAGCACATTTGTCAGCTAAGGATTTTGCACAGTGCTCCACGAGGCATTTCAGTAAGATTTGGGTCTCACTTCTTTTACCCCTATTCATGAATGGCCCTGCAGGACCAGAACTTGTGGTGATTCAACTGAAGACTTGCACTTCTGGGCACTTCTGACGTCAGAGTTATATAAATCAACGTAAATCTGCACTTGATCTTGAGCTATTAGGCACAGTATTTGCAAATATGTCTAAATCTTAATGGACTTGCCTGGCATCATCTTTCTTCAAATCCATGAGTCAATGTTATGCTTTTTTTCCCTTTAGTGATTTTTCCTGGTGATTTTAAAGCAGATTTAAATGCAGCTTTCTTCATGACATGAGCCCTGCAACAGCATCCTTCCTGTTTCCTGTTCCCAGAGCACATCAATTGTACAACAGTTCTTCCAAAGCCCTAACCAAATACTCTTTTTGATAACTCAGACATCTAATACATACTCCTGAACAGTTGAGACCTCTGGGGGCTCTTGAATGTATTTCACATGGTCTTGGTTACTTTCCAATTATCTTACCTGCTTTTTACAGACAACTTTATACCTCTCTGCAGACACTGGCTAGATTACACAAGTTTTCAGCTGAAATACTTAATGAGTAAGAATTTAGTTATCTCAGAGGCCAGAGAATTCTCACAGTTTTTGAGGGACATATTTCTCTTGACATATTTCCGTGTGTTTTTGTCTTGTTATTTATTCTCTGCACCATTTTTTCTCTCCCCATGTAATTTTTTATGTTCATCTTGGTTTAGAAGCTAGCTAGCAAGAGTAACAACTGGTAAACAGACTGAGTAAAGCTTCTATAAAAATAATCAAGGGGTAAAACATGGTGAAGTGAAATAGAAGAAAACAACATGAGAAAAATTTTACTTCATGTAAATTAAGATGCAATTTGATTAGAAATAGAGTTTTCCTTTTTAAGGGAAAATGATGTCTCATCTCACAATTCTTCATTACATTGCCTCTTACCACTGGGTGCTTCTGTGATAGCAAAAGGAAAGCCCACAGTTTCTGTTTCAACCACTGCTGATATGAAGCGACCGGGCTGCAGGGAACAGTCCCATATTGGGAAACGTCTTAATTTGGTTGGATCTGTGTGTTCCTACCTCCGCTTAAACAGTCCTTTGTGGTTCCTAAAATGTCACTGGACCCCTTGTCCTCTTCTGCTACTACTGTTCTTTGTCCATCTGTCATTTACATGACATAAAATTTCTAATAATAATCTGAAGTAATCTTTGCATATGATCTCATCAAGCTCTTGCTGCTCAGGATTAAGTGTTATAACAATGTTATGAATCCATCTCGAGGAGACTGACCGTCCCTCCCTCTGGCTGCCTCACCACACTCCCAGGGTAGGTTTGTGGGTGAAGATAATCCGCCTTTAACACTGGAGTGAACAGGACTGCAGAGGAAAATTTTTTGTGTGTTTTGCAGTTGTACACAGAGTAAGGGTCTTCTTTTAAGGATGTTCAAGCTTCAGGATTGGAGTCAGCCAATGCAGTCCAGATCTCTCAAGTGTGAGCCAGTGCTTCAAACACAAGATTTTCTCATTTCTTTAGCTAAACCTTTCTTTACTTCAGAAGGTCATTCCTCTTCCACATGTTGTTTAACATAAAAAAGACAAATTATGCCATCTGGCTGCATTCTGTCTTTCATGAAATTAAGGAAGGAATAAACTAGCACTGGCTAAACCCAAGCATGGGGCAAGTGAACTTTGATGGATACAGCCTGCAGATTTGAAGCGCATCCATTGCTGTTGCAGAAAAGCTGCTGCCCTGGTAAAATTCCCAATGAACCCCATCCTTCAGGAGCTTTAGAGGGTTTTCGGTGTTGGTAGTCATCATCAGAACTCATGGCCATCTGCTCTTGCTGAAACTGCTGTAAGTAAAGAGACCACATCAGCCCACCAGGAGATGAATTTGGCTAAAACCTTCACCACAGACACCAGCAATACCTTTCTGCATCACTGTGTGATGGTTGGGAAGGATATGAATCTGCAAAGGACTTCAGCTGAACTCAGCAAAGTAATTTCTGCACATGACCTCAAAGCTGGTTTTGCAACTCAGGCTCTCAAAAATGAATACATAAATAAGCAAATTGCTGCTAAGTTGACTAATGAAACAAATCCTCAAACTTTCAATATGGTACAGATTCTTTATTGCTTTGTTTTGTTCTGTTTTGTTTTGTTCTGTTTTGTTTGAGCAGATATTTCTGCCTTGGCCTTCTTCACAGTTTCTGATCTAAGGAACATTTAAACATTCAAAGCACTTCTTGTCAGTGAATGTTTCATATTTTTATGGAGGTAATACATTAGCTAGGAAACACTTAGGTCTCTTGTTTTACCAGGCACTGTAAAGGTTTTGCTGCAGATAGCTGATAGATAAAAAAAGGACTTAAAGCTGTCTGTGGAAAAAAGAAGAAAATTTGATGGGTGAGTCTGCGAGGTTAAAAATACAGGCAAATATTTAGTTTAAGATGATTAAGAATTGCAGCTCACCTCCTGGCTTTAACAGATGACACTTTAATGTACAATTTACAGAAGACAGGTGAGATTTTTAGAATGTACTGAAAAATGCTAAGATAACTCTTAGACATGATGTTTATTAGTAGAAGATGGCAATAAATCTGTAGGAAAAGATGAGAGCGAACTCCTCACAGACTGTGATGTGTGTTGTGCTTTGAGCATAACCCTGCTTCATTAAAAATGTAGCTTTGTGGGTTTCCTAAAGGAAGGTGTTATATTTTATACAGAGTTTCCTTTATGGTTTATGAGCCAGACAGAATGGCTTAAAGAAGCATACCCATGATAACGAATTTCTCTCAGCCTACATAACCCCTGCACACCACTGCTAAGTGCAGCCATTGTTATCAAGCCATTGACTGCTGTATTTCACTGTTTTTTGCAAAATAATGTAGAGAGAATTGCCTTGCTGTAAAGGATCTCTACTGCTTTAAGGAATGGCTCTCAATGGAGGAAAACTCTCAGAAGGGGATTTACAAGCCAGGGCTGATGCTGCTCACTCTTCCCGAATGCAACAGGCTGCCCAGCCTGCACCAGGACCCCAGTGCCTGCACCCGCATCCCTTTTTTTGGTAAGGTGGCACATGCTGCCTGTTGCCTGGAGAGCTGTGCTGTTGGTGAGGGAGCGGGGAAAGATGTGATCCGTAATTTACAACTGAAGTAAAGGCTGATGGTGGGTACCATCCTGTCAACGCTTGTGCACAGAACTGTGGTAGCTGCATTGGCTGTTTGTCTGTCTTGGACAACTGGGGTGCAGGAAAGTCCCTCAAGTAAATAAAGCCTGGCTCGCTATTGAGAGGGTCATAACAATCTCATTGCCAAAGTCAGTCTTAATGACGGTAAAATCGCCATTCAGGTGCCGTTGCAAAGAAACAAGCTGCTTAAGCACTGCTGGGAGGGCACTTCTTCCTGTAACACATTCCCAAGCAAACACCCAGTTATATCACACCCTGGACAACCCCTCCTTATGTCTTGTCTTGTCTTCTTACAGATTTGAAGAAGGAGAATATAACCAGTAAGTAAACTGCTCCAGGCTCTATGTTTCTAGATGTGGGCATGATATTCTTTGTTGAAGATGCAGCTTGCATAGCATTTTTATGTTTTGCTCTGGTCCTGGCTGGCTGGATTCAGGTTATTACCAGGAAATGCCCGAGCTTCTACGTCCAAGGCATGGGGAAACACAGTTCCAGCTCTTCAGAGCTTGGGGAGAACGTGGGCTGGTAACTGTTGAAGGCAATTAGAGAGGCATGGTGCTTTTAGCTGGTAGCCTCCCCTCCAGCCGTTTCCCCTTTTTTCTACCTATTGCTTCTAGTTTTCCTTTACTCATATTTAGTATTTCTGATACTGCTACCGAGGTCATTCCAGCCTTATATGCTGTTACTGACATGGTTGCCTACATAAAGCTGGCCTTGCAAGACTTTATTACCCGAAAGGCACCAGCACTCTCCTCCAATCTTCTCTGAAGTCTGGATGTTTCTCCTATGAACCCCCACGACCAACAGTAAGACTCAGTCATCCCCTGTGGCACTGCTGAGATGTCTGTTGGCCTTCTGCCCTGCTGCTGGTCATGGCTGAAGCATGCACATCCAGCTCTTCCAACTGACATTCAACTGCAGTTTAAAGCTCAGCCACTGAGCTTGTCCTGTTGGAAAAGGAAGAACCTCCCTCCTGCCATGTTTCTGAGCCGGTGAGGTCTGCAGATTTGGCGGTGGCAGGCATCTTCTGCATGGAGGGAGAAAGTGAAATTGAGAATTGCGGGGAGTTTTCTTTCATGGGAATGCCTTGGCTCCCCCTGGCCACCCAAGCCCCAGATTCCTGGTGTTACACACCTGAGACAAGTGCTTTAGCACCCCATGGGCACTCCATCATCACTGCCCAGTGCTTACAGCCCACAGCTGCAGCCATCTCCTCTCTGGGGAAAGGAGCACGAGGGAGGGATGCCAGCAAATGAGTAGGGCATTCACAGGATGGTTTCAGCCTTGCCTTGGACAGTTGCAAGTTCAGGACATGACCTCTGTCTCCTGTGTAAACATGTGAACTTTTTGTTCAGCTTTCACAGTATTTGCCCAGGGTGGTATTGCGCAGATGTGCATTATTTGGTCATGAATCAGGGAGACATAACAGTAACATTTTAGTGATATTTCCCCCTCTTTTCTACTTCATAGCCACTGTTACACGCACAAAGGTTTAGGGAGCATGAAGTGAACCATTTTCTATCTTGCCCATCAAAGTTATTCATTAAATCCCAGTTGGACCACCTTTATTACTCCCTCTGTCCTCATTGTAGCAAGAACATGTATGAGGGCATCTGCATTTTCCAGGCCACCAAGGTCTCAGAGGTGCTTTCTTAGTGTTGCTGTCGCCCCTAAAGCTCTCCACATTGCTTCTGTAAGGTGTCACACTGAAGTTTATTTCAGATCTTTGCAACAGTTTTTTTTCACATTGGTTACTAGCTCAGTCATGAGGCAGGTTTCGGGCATTGATTTCCTTGCCTTTGAATGTGAGATATTTGAAATGCGGGGCTCAGACACACAGCTATGTTTTAGGGCAGCTTAACAAGATTTTACACCTCTGCAGATCTACAAGTGCTGCTTGTGTGTGGGGCTGCTAGCTTGTTGTAGATGTGAGGCATAACATGGTAGCTTACATATCAGTCAAAGTTCAAGTTAGAGCATTTCACTTTGCCTTTGTGATTGGTTAAGTGTGCTCATGAAGTCCACAGTCACTCCTATACTGAGATGTTTACATGCCTTGGGCTACAGGAACTTGGTTATGTGTTTGAGCTCACTCACCTTGAGCAGATATTGTCGTGGTGATGTTTCTATCTAACCCATGTGCAGTGCCTGGTGCTTGGTGAAAGTTCAGAAAGCCAAGGGTCTATAAAAGACCCATAACTACAATCATGAGTTCAGTGCGTGATGCAAGAAGAAAAGAGCAGATGGTCATCATGATGCATTTACTATGTTCCTCCTACAGGAGAAACAGGACAATCTGGGAGTATATATTAAAACATATAGCCTTTGTCTCAAACTTGGATAAAAACTTATGCAAAGCTTTAATGAAGATGAAAAAGATTTGCTTAAAAAATCCCTTTATTTTAGAACAGGTCAGGTTTCCTCTTGATTTTCTTTTCCTGACCTGCAAGCTTAAGAATGTAATAGAAAATAAAAATATGACAACTGTGTTTACTGGCTTGTTATTTTATCTAACAAGGCTAATAATGCAGTGGACCCTAGTATGTGCCATCAGCCAGAATGTTAGCTGCATTTCAGCAGAGTTTATGTAAGATTAGCTAGCATGTGTTAAAGTGCGTAAAGCTGCACCTTCTCCGTTGATTTCCCACTTCCTAGATTATGCCAGCATTCATTAACGTCTCCTATGAGGACAGGTGGTATCTACATTTATGTTTTGGGAACATATTCCTGCAGTAAAATCCTCTCAAGATTTTCTACTTAATTTTTCTGCAGCCAGAGTAAGCCTTGTATATGGAAAGTGAACTACACATTCTTCATTATAAAGAATATTATTTTATATTGATACTATCTCTTCAGATCTGTAGTTGCCTTCAGTGTGTAGCTTCCATGCATGCTGGAAACCATGGACTGTTTCCAAATATCCAGTCTAAGAGGACAGGCAGTGTACAGAGGCAGGGAAGAGGGATACCACTGTAGGACTTTATGAATCCCAGCCTTCTGCTACCTGCCCTAGGAATGTGAGTGTCTTCCTGTTGTTGCCTCTGTAAGACTGAAGGCTGGGAATCATGTAACTAGTGCTGCAATTTGCTTTCTGCCTTGGTTTGGTATGGGTGGCTTCACTGTGGTTCTGCTTTGCACTTTTTGCATGGAAGTGCTGTGAACTGGGCAGACGCAACGCAACCATCGCAGGTGCATGGCCCATTTTCTCAATCTGAAAGAGCTCCGGTTCCCTCTTTGGGGTTTTACCAGATCTGACCTTATGTCCTGAGCTCAAAATCCATTTAAGTGTGAACAGGAGGCTAAGCAGTTCCCTGCCTGCAGTTGCCCAGTCCTTTTATGTGCTTCAGATCTGCTGCTAACTACCACATACTCTTATGTAATGACATGAAGTTTACTCTTGTGAGTCCCTGCTTCAGGATATTGTCTGAGATGACTTGACCCTATGTGTTTTTTTATCCCCAGGGACTTGCTACAGCGGCAATGGCCAGTTTTACCAGGGCTGGGCCAATGTCACAGCCTCCGGCATTCCCTGCCAGAAGTGGAGCGACCAGGTGCGCATCAGTGTGAGACCCACTGAATGGAGAGCCATGCTTGAGGTCTGCTTTTCCAAAGAGTTTCTCAGAGCCAGGCAGCCCAATCCCAGTGGAAAGGCTGAGCAGGCGACAAGTTGCCCGAATTCTTGAATTCACTGGTGTTTCATACCCTCTTTGTATTTCAATCTGCAAGTTCCCCTTCCCGTGGCAGGATACATTCTGTGTCATTCTGGCGGTCTGCTGGAAGGCTGGTTTACCTCTGCCTTTCTTTGCTCCTTTGTTTTGGTTGGTTTTGTTTTGTTAATACCAGCAGGAAAAATTATATCGAAACACTAATCCAATTTGTTTCCTCCCCCAAGGCTCCCCACTTGCACAGGAGGACTCCTCAGGTTTTCCCTGAGCTGTCTGATGCTGAGAATTACTGCCGCAATCCAGGAGGTGAGAATGAACGTCCCTGGTGCTACACAAAAGACCCGTCTGTGACCTGGGAATACTGCAGCGTGGCTCCCTGTGGAGATGGTAGGCAATGGTGACTGCAATTTATGATTTCTTCCACTGTGGTTGCTTCGGGGCCTTGCAAGATCTTGAATGCTCATGGCCACACTGATCTGTTCTGTGTTCTGGATTCGACCAGCTCTAGTTCTTCTAATAGAATCACTCAGCATCTTTAACCAGAAGGTGTAACATGAACCTTAAAGATGGGGAAACAAAGATATGCAAATCAAGCATCTTGCCCCAGATCATATTTAGGTCAAAGGATGAAATCAAATTGGCTATCTTATTATGGAAAATGGATTTGCCACACTGCTTTTTGAGGAGGAGGTAGGATTTGGGTCTATATTCCAAAGTTGCTTTGCTTCTGGTGAGTTTTTCAATAATAAAAAGCAGTTCTAATTAAAAGCAAATCTGAAAATGATGGAAACGTCTTTGCTCTGTGAAGTCTTCAAACTAAGTCTTTCTGCTATTTCTTGTTCAAAGAACAGAAAAATTTTTGAAACATATTTCATCCAAGATGCACAGTTGCTGGATTTCAGTGTTTGGAAATAAGACAGTTCTGCTTGCACTGAGAACTGGAGTGCTGTGGACTTAAGGGAACACAGAGCAGTATCAGTTTAGCTGGCCTTAAAAAGAATGGCTTATATTTATTTCTGTTTTCAATAATTGCATGTACCAATTAGCATTTTCTAGAATGTCTCAGAAAGTAGTCAACAGGTGCCTACCTGAATATTTTTTTTTCTTCTAATAATACAGCCAAATGTATTTTACTCTAGTTTACCATATTTGCCCCATAAAGACACTGAGACACAAATTGTTGGAGGCAAGGGGTTATTTCAGGAAAGTATCACTGTGTACTTGGTCTTACACTCCTCCCTGCAGATTCCTTTTAGGACACATGATACATTATGGTCCACATCATAGACCATTGATCTTTCCCACTGTAGACATTACTATATTTGAATACTGTTGAGACCATCAGATATGATCTCCTATCTGTAAGTCCTGCAGACATTCCTTACCAAAACTGTGTTCCCAGCTCAACGGAAACTGTTTCTTGGTCTTTACCAGATCCTGAGTTTTCACATTTGGTAAGCAAAAATGGGTTTTGCTTCCTGCAAACCAGGCTTCCCTAGTATGTTCCAGTCATATGCTTGTATCTGTAATGTCTTTAATTCTCGGGACATCAGGCTGACTCTGTAAGTACCTCTTAGAGAAAGCTCTATAAACTATCCAAACTGTAACCTTCTGATTTTGTTTGCATTACAGCATCATTATCACTAGGAACAAGAAAACCAAATGGAGAGACTCCAAATCTCCCCCCTCCTCCTCCCTTTTCCCCTACGTACTCCATGACTGTGATCATCTCAATCATCTCCAGCTTTGCCCTGATCATCATCCTCAGCATTGTCACTCTTGTTTGTTGCCGTCGTCGAAAGCAGTGGAAAAACAAAAAAAGGTAAAGCTTGTGACTTAATTCAAGGCAACAAATGCTGCTTTGAAAGAGGGTTTGCCTGTTTCTGAGACCACAGACCTGCAAATGCCTGGTGGAGGGGAGAAGCTCCGCCTTTGCTTGTGACAACCCATTGCAAGCTCTGTCAAGTCTCTGTGCGAGAGCAGAAGGTGGCCTGGTGACTGTTTTGGGGACAAGGCATGACACCTTGCTGCAAGGCTCTTTCCACAGCCCTGCTGCACCTCCCTTTTCCATCCTGGAAGAAAACAACCTTGGAGGAGATGCAGATAGAGTGAGGGCTTTGTTCACACACTGAACAAAAACTGCTCTGTTGTTTCAGAGAATCGGAGACACCGACGCTCACCACTCTGCCCTCTGAACTCCTCCTGGACCGGCTGCACCCCAATCCAATGTACCAGCGGATGCCACTTCTCCTCAATCCAAAGTTGCTCAGCCTGGAGTATCCCAGGAACAATATTGAATATGTGAGAGATATTGGGGAAGGAGCATTTGGGAGAGTTTTCCAAGCAAGGTCAGTGGCCTGTGTGTAAGTCTTCTTTATTTGGAGGTATCTGGGAAAAATTGGCAGGCAGGCAACTGATTATCTGGGCAGTGGAAATCATTCATTCATTCATTCACTCAAGCCAAAATCAAATGTATGTATACCAGATGGTACACATAGGCTTGAATTAGCTTAGTTTTCTGTCACTTAGATTTCTGTTGTCCACTGCTTTCTGTTGATATTTCTTAAACTTTTGTCACAAATGACTCTGTGTTCTTCTCTCCAGTAGATGTAACATCTTACTCACATACCAAAAGCTGGTATAAAAGTTGAGCTAAATTTATCATCACTGTTTTTGCCAGGAATATTGCCTGTGACATGTGACCTATTGTGAAATTCTCGCATTTCCCAGTATTTGTGAATTGTCAGTGTGTGGTGTCCTGTACTATAACGCCAACACTGGCTAGTAATTACCACAGAAAGTAATGTGTCATGCTATAGTTAGGTCCTGACCCAATTTCCATTTGATTCATTGGCAAAACCAAACCAATCCAAAAATCCCCTAAAAGCCCAACGCCCTTAAGCCAACATTTTTTTTTTTTTGTGTGTGTGTCCCCTTTAGTTACTAATTTTTATTCTTGGAATTTGCAGCCATTGTTGCCTGCTTTAAAATTAAGGTATCTGATGAGATCTCAGTTCTGTTAAATCTCATGGGAGGTGAGATCATGCCCTTCTTCAAATGTGAAAAATGTTTGATTTAACAACCCAGAGATGAACCCAGATCTGACTAGACTGAGGCGGGTGGAGGGTATCTTGTTAGCCTTGATGGAATCCATAAATTTTGTAGGACAGTCTTTGGCCAGTACCAGTCTCCTTGGAAAATCCCATCTCTGAATTCTTGAAAGAAAGTGGACAGACTGTCCAGTTCCATGTTTACTCAGGATGGTATTTGTTGTCTTTCACGGTTAACCAGTCTGGGATGTGGCTGATTTTGTAGCTGTATCTGGAGTAGTGTATGATGACCTTAGAAAAAACAGAGGAGTATCACAGTCCCACCACAGGCCAAGACCTGCCTGGTGGAGTGGCTCCCATTGCCTTCAAAGGCGGAGGACTCTCCTTGCAAAAAGCAGCCATAATTGCAGATACTTTTAGTATTTATAGTTATGCTGTTGATGTATCTGCTAGGAAACAAGTTACACACAGATTAAATGTGTTAGAGCAGTTTCAATAGCTGTGATGGATTTTTTTTATAATAAAGGGATGCATTTTTTCTAATGGAAGAAATGCAGGCATACATTTCTCTAATACGGAGAGAGCTAAAAATAACAAAGTTCAAGGGGAAAATCACAGATGCTTAGCCTATGATTGATTGTTAGCCTGGATGGCAAAGCTCATGAGTGCGTGTGAGCTTGAAACGAGGACAAAGCTGTCGGAACTGTGCCACAGCCACGCTCGGGGCACTGCACACCAGCCGGCACAGGGCAGCCCTCGTCCCAGGCTCAGCGCAGCCCTCGGGGTGCCCTGCGGAGACCCACCTTCCCCTTCCCCGCCCGGCAGGCGCACGGGCAGGACGGGCCGGCTTCCTGCCCAGTGCCGCTCCGGCCCTGCCCTGGGAGCTTCAGAACAGTTTCAGTGCTGCACAGACTTCTCCCAGCTGGAAGCGACTCCCACCCACATGGAGCAGGACCTCTCAAAGGGCATTCAAATGTCACGGAAGCGCTGGGTTAGGCGAGTGATAAAGTGGTGTAGAGGCCTTTCATGTGGATTTCGTCCGCCCCAGTGCTGCAATTTCTTTTAAGTAAACCTTTTTACTATAGTCAGTGGAAACCGAGAGAAAAAGAGAAGAAAAAGAAAAAACAGCACATCTTCTTAGCTGGCTTTTGCAAAGTGGCTTTTGCACACCCTCAAGAACACCTGCTCTCTGTGGCTCAGGGAAGGAGCCACAGAAATATTTCTTCTGATGGGCTTCCTTATTTTTATTAATATCTCTATCAAAAGTCCCTCCAAGGTCTTATATTTCCAGGGAACATTTAAACCACTGGCATTTCTGTGCACCGCTGGCAGATCAGCACAGACTGCTGATCCAGTAGGGCCAGCTGTGCATCCCTCCAGGTTACTGAAGCTATTAGAGCCCAAATCATTGCCTTTCCATCTCAGATGGATAAAATGTACTTGTCTACGTGTGTTTAATGGACATCTCAAGCTAAGTTTAGCAACCCTCTTACTTCTCCTAGTCTCATGTTTCTGCCTCTCCTGTAAACACAGCTCTGTACATGGTGCCAGCAATGCTTTTGCCAGTTGGCTTGCTGCAAGTCCTGATTCAGTGTTTACTCACTCCTGGGTCAAGCAACATGTTAGGACAGGAAGTGTCTGGCTATCATTTACTAGCTCCTCCTGAAAGGCTGCCGTCTTCACTGGGAGCAGCTTCACGCTGGAGAGGATGAGGAAGTAACCAGTTACCCTAACAGATGTCCCTAAAACAAGATTCAGGATCTGGCTCAGGCCTGTCTTGACTGGGTTGTAATGGCCAACTCAGGATCCTCTGGCCCCGTGTACCACCAGAGCACCATCCCCATGTGGTTCAACGCAGACCAGCATGCAAGTTTTCTCGAAGAGCTGGAGCTGCATGGTCCAGGTTAAGCCAGAAGCCCATGATTGCCTAAAAGCCTGGATGTGGGGTCTTTTCTAGCAGGCCAGTAGACCCCCACTGCAAAGGCACAGCTTGCCAACTCTACAAGAGACAAGGCTGTCCCTAAGTTTGGAGTTTCTCTGACAGAAGTCTCCTTATGTTCTTTCCAAGGGTAAAGTGTGTTTCTCTGACCTGCTGTCTCAAATATAGCTGAGCAACAGTGTGGATGTTAATTAAAAAATGAGCCCCTGGCAATTCAGAGCACTCTCCTGCCCACATACAAATTTCTCCAAAGGATAGGTAAAGGTAAGTCTCCACCAGCCTCAGTAGATGTTAATTACATCATTTGATGATCTAACAAGCTACCCACCTGTGATGCTGAGGAAGATGGGAGACAGGACACAATCTCAAATACAGGTTTAAGCTTCTCCTCAGTTTTATCTCAGTTATTGTACTGGAAAGAAAACCTGACTTGAAACTTAAAAGTCAGGCATTCTGTGTAGGTAGGCTTGGACCCCTAACTGCACCGCTGGTCAGTTCTTTGAATGGCAGGTAAGTAAATGCAAAATACTGCCAGCATTGCACAAATCTGATGATCTTGAAAAAGGCAAGGACAGCTGCTGCCCATCCCATGTACAAACAGTAAGCATTTCTCCTAAGCAGTTAGGTGATTGTGAGAGAGGAAACCCCAGGTAATTTCTGTTGACGCCTCCCAGTTCTAGAAGAAATGTACCTGTTTTCTAGAAAACACTCCACATTCTGGTCCGCTACCTGAATTCTCCTGGTTAATTTCAGAAAAAGCAGCTTCCCATTGCTCCCCTGCAGATGTTCCCCGATTCCTTTGTGCAAAGACTGTCTTCTGGGCATCAAAGGGGTCAACTTCAACAGCTCTTTGCCAAGACTGCAAACAGAGTCTGTCTCTGTTCCAGATCAGTGTGATTTTCCCAGGTCTGCTGAGCTGGGATGAATTAACACATGAGTTACCAAGGGTGAAATTACTTGATGTTTCCTGAAGGACCATTAAAAGGCTTTGTGCAGCTTAATCTCACTTAAGTTACACTTAGGTTAGTTTCAGTTACAGGATTTCAGCAAAGAGTAGATGGATGGGTATACTTCAGGCTTCAGCCGGGGGTGAGTTTCTCTCTCCGAAGCATGCAGGGCGGAGCTGTGCCCGCCCCTGCTTTGGCACTGCACTACGTCTGCTAGTGAGCGATGAGTGGTAATCTACACCGAGGCTGTTTGGAAGAGATAAAGGCCCTCCTCTTTTTACTTTTAAATGCTCTACTAATTTCTTTAGGCTGTCGCTGCTGACTTTCTCCAGAGTTGAGGTTAGACAGCAGCTGGTAGGTGCTGGTACTTCCCCTCCTACTGGACTGGAAACTTGCTGTCTGCACAGAGGGAGAAACAGAAGACATTTTGCTGTAATGGAGGCAGTAGCAGACAAGTGCGGGCTCTGCTCCTCTGCTCTGGGGTGCTGGGCCTCCTTGTCTGAGTGCCTCAGCTGCGATCTGGCCACCTGTGAGATTCCTTTCTTGATGGGCACCCTGCCATCTTCTGACATTTGACATTTACAGCATCCAAGTGCAACTGTTGCAACTGCCATATGTCTGGAGTAGATGACAAGGAAACTGGAAGTTTGCTTTGGAAATCGGAACCTCCTCTTGGGGTTAGTGAGCAGTAAAATAACCTAGCATTTGAGCAACGGGAGGGCAGCTGGGCTGGTGTAGAAGCATGACACATAAATGGGTGCCACTCGCTATGGGCTCTGGCTGGCTACCTGTAATGATCGTGTTTTAGCTGCAGGACTCCAGGGAAGGATGTGCGTGGGAACAAAATGAGCATCTGATGTTTGACGCATGTTTGAAAAGTGGAAAGTTACTCTTCTCTGGCAACAGCTACCCCTAAATCTTTGGCAAGCCCATCTAATTAAACTTGTTGAGGGTGCAGTGACCTGTGGATAAGAAAACAAAATGAGTTTGTAACTGCTCTAATTCAGGAAGCTCTGTTGATTATGGATTTGTGCCTCTAAGCTCTAGCTGAATATTCACTAGTGTCTTAACATGGGTCTATTCACACGTTACCTTGTTCTTCAGACAGGGCACACGTATGCTTTGTCCCTTATGTCCTGCCATCTGTTTCCGCAAAACTTGCAGGACTATAACTATTTCCTAGACTTCATCTCTACCACATTAAATTCAGCTGAAATTAGCTAATGGTGTTTATAACTTGTTGAATTATAGGCACACACATACAGAACAGTGGCAAAAGACTATTTTCCTTACAAAACCAAGGGAACATACTTACTGTAATTGTTACTTTCACTCTAATAATAGCCAGATGTACCAACGCCACCACAGTGCCAGGTATGGGACAAAATGCAGTGAAAAGAGCCTGTTTCAATATTTTCATATAAAAATAGGTTTATTTTTAACTCTGGTGAGCTCAGTCATTACACCCCAAAAGCAAATTGTTTGGATTGAAGAGTCCATCCTGCTCTCCATGAAGTTTCTGATGTGACCTCCAACTCAGGGAGAGGTTATTGCTTACCAACCTGTTATTTATTTATATCTTTACTAGTCATGGTAAAGAGTCTTTGAGCAGAAAGAGGACTGATCTAAAAAAGCTATACTGGATTTAATCCCCCTTGAACTAAATTAAATGTCTCTGCACTATGCAATGTAGACATGCCTGAGAGGTGAAGATGGACTTTCATGTTCCTTCATGCTGAGTGGTGTCTTCCAACTTTTTTCTTTCTTTTTCCTTTTCTTTCTTTCTCCCCTTGCCCTCGCCCTTGCCCTTCCCTTTCCCTGCCCCTTTTTCTTTCAGATTATCCTTTTGCACCAGAAAGAGAGCCTACATTTAGTGTGCATGCATCCACCACTGATGCTTTCCTTTCTCCCATCTCCTTGCAGGGCCCCAGGTCTGCTGCCATATGAGCCGTTCACAATGGTGGCAGTGAAAATGCTGAAGGAGGAAGCGTCCGCAGACATGCAGGCTGACTTTCAGAGGGAGGCAGCCCTCATGGCAGAGTTTGACAATCCGAATATTGTCAAGCTTTTAGGTACCTGAATGAGGTGCCCATGTGCAGGGTACCACCTTCTGCAAATCTACTGTAGGGTTGTTGGGGGTGCAGAAGCAAATACACATGCATGGCTGGTGCTTAATGCAAATGGAAATGATGATCTCTTTTGCAAGAGAAAATGCCTCTTGCAAAAGAGGTGAGATTTTCTGTGTGCCACTGTATACTCTGCTAAATTGCCCACCAGAACTCTCAAAATGTAGGTCTGATGCTGTTACCTTAATAGGATGGTGCATTGTAATAAGTATTCCTCATCCTGCATTGAGTATACTGTTGACCATCTTGCTGCCTAGCTCTGATTCCAGTTTAGTAACATTGGCGCGATGCCTTGCAGGGAAGACATGAGCTTCTTGGAGCTGTGATTTATTTTGAGGGTACTTAAAAAAACCAGGCACAAGTCTTGTTAGTTTTATGGGACCCACTTACTATTGTGATGTCTGAACACTCACCAGCATTAAAAAAAAAAGAAAATGAAACAAATAAACAAAAAAAAGCCAACCACAAAAATGGTCTCTTCCTTCCTTTTCTAGCTGAAAGGAAACCCAGTTTATTGGACTTTTTAGAAAGCCTCAATGCCACAGCTTGGCTAATAGGGCATTCTTCTATGAAGAAAGCTGCTGATCAAATTCTACTTCAGTAAATTTTCAGTTTTTGACTAAAATAGATATTGCTAGCCACCTTCACCTGGCAGTCCTGATCTAGGTTGTTGCATGCAGATCTGATCCTTGTGAACAGGCAGCTGTGATCTTCATTTATTTCAATAGGAAGCTCCATAAAATTTGGAAATGGATAAATGCGAGTTTTGGGAAAGCTGGGTTGAAACAAGTACTTTGGCTACAGCAGAGAAAAGCAGGAAATGCCCCAAATTCAAATAAACACTGTGTTTATTGTCAACGCATTTTAGGTCAGGAAAAGGCAAAGGTACAGGAACAAAATGGTTTCACATCATTGGGGTGTGGAGAAAAGAACCACATTGTTGAAGACAGTTTAGATGATAAAGCTCGCACATACACTCTTCATGCTTGTCAGATCCTGATTTTATTACACTGGGAACAGCTATCTGTTTTTCCTCAAAGATTCAAGTGTTAGGTCATCAACAAGAATTTCAGATTTCACAATAAGTTGGATCACCAATTGCTAAATGATGGTCCTAAGAAAACAAAACACACACGTTTTAAATGCTGGCTTTTGCTGGTTGGCAATTTAATGATAGGCATGAAAATATTTTTACAATATCACTGTATGTTCAGTAAAACTGGTGGGAGTGGAACCCTATACTGATGCTGACCCCCTGTAAAACTGGTGTAGGGCCAAGCATGTGCCCTTCAGTGGGCCTAGGTTCTGCATCTATCAGATGTCACAAATCTCTCCTTTCTGATGTCTGTTTTTTCTTTGTCTTTCTTTCATTTTTGAGTGTCATGCCAAAAGTAATGTCTGCAACCAACATTTTTTGCATGAGCTGTTAAGGAGCAAAAATCCAGACATTGTAGTGGGAGTATCTTTGCATTTCAAGTATCCCACTGAACCCTTGAAGATGCCCCTTGTGATTACTCCTGAAGACTTCCTGTGTATGTGTATCCCCTACACCCATATCAGTATAAGAACAATAACTACAACAAACAAAAGAACTTAAAAGTACTGTGATCAGAACTATAAAGGTTACTTTCTTAAGGTATATCCTAATGACCTGCATGGCGCATCTAATTTCTTCCAGGTGTGTGTGCTGTTGGGAAACCAATGTGCCTGCTGTTCGAGTACATGGCCTACGGGGATCTCAACGAGTACCTGCGTGACCGCTCGCCCCGCAACCTCTGCAGCCTGGTGCACAGCAGCCTGGACGCACGGATCCGCCTGCCCAACCCCCTGGCACTGTGCTGCACCAGCCAGCTCTGCATTGCCAAGCAGGTGGCTGCCGGCATGGCGTACCTCTCTGAGCGCAAGTTTGTCCACCGGGATTTGGCTACCAGGAACTGCCTGGTGGGGGAGAACATGGTCGTCAAAATCGCCGATTTTGGTCTCTCGAGGAACATGTATTCGGCCGACTATTACAAAGCGAATGAGAACGATGCCATCCCCATCCGCTGGATGCCCCCGGAGTCCATTTTCTACAACCGCTACACCACGGAGTCTGACGTGTGGGCCTACGGGGTGGTGCTGTGGGAGATCTTCTCTTACGGCATGCAGCCCTACTACGGGATGGCTCATGAAGAGGTTATCTACTATGTGAGGGATGGGAACGTCCTCTCCTGCCCGGACAATTGTCCCTTGGAGCTCTACAACCTGATGCGCCTCTGCTGGAGCAAGCTGCCTGCCGACCGGCCAGGCTTTGCCAGCATCCACCGCATCTTGGAGCGTATGTATGAGAGGGCTGTGGCCACCCCATCGGTCTGAGGAATGTGCTCGGGGGTCCCCCGTGCATGCCCCTCCAAACTGACTTGGCCCAGCCCATGGGCTTCATGCAAAGCTCTACTTTAGGGAGAGGAGAAACAACTCGTTCCTCTCCCAAGCAAAAGGCATGGACTGCAACCTGCTATGGTGGGCTATACCTTCCTGAGTGGGACTATTCCTCCAAAATGACAGGGCTGACCCCTGGCCACCAAGCCTGGACTCCTTGGGTTGGCAAGGGTGCTGGCCATGCTAACTCAGTACGTCTATTAGGCATTTCCAGGAGCACAGAGTTCCCCAGGGAAAGCAAACCAACGTTTCGCTGGTGGCACTTCCCTTCCTAAGAGGTCTCTCTATGTCCCTCTGTATTTACATTCTTTCTTTTACCTTTTTTTTCCCTTCCTCATATATTTTTAAGTATTATTTAAAAAAAAAAAAAAAAAAGATTGCAGAATTCAATCTTTTTGGGGATACCGTTTACTATTTTATTTTTGCTTACTCACTTCCTTTTGCAGAAGCTGTGAGCTACTTTTGTTTTCCTTTTATCTTTCACCTCCTCTTTGACACTCATGAATATAACATTGACAGAGTCAAAACAGGAGCCTCCAGGACCACCTGCAGCTGCCCACATCTCATGTTACATAGATGGGCTAATCCCTATCAAGCACAGAGACTTACGTTTTCAAAAGTGGGAAATCCACAGTGAGGTTCATTTGGTGTTTGTTCAGATCTCTCCCAAAAGCTTGCCTCAAGCATTTCAGCCCATCTTTCCTGCCTTCCCCTGCAACAAAGCCTGTTGGTGCTAAGGGAGAAATTCAGCCCAAAGGCCTGGTCCTGCACCTGGTAGGTCTCCAAGGTGTATTTATTGCCTTTGCCTGCAGTATGTCCTCATTGCACCAAAACCAGAGAGAAATGCAGCCCCTCTTGTAGAAATGTGGCAGGTTATGTTACTTATTTCTGTCCTTTGCCCTTCCAGTCATTGCCTCTTATTTCTGGTTTTCCTTTCCTGACAACAGCTCCTAACCCCTGTAAGACCCACTGCAACTTTTGCTGGCCACCTTTCCTTGTGTTGCAGTTTACAGGCAAAGAAGTTAGGAAGGTGGATGTCTGCCATGAGTGGCCTTCAGAGGCAACCTGCCAGTTAGGAGAAGGTGGAAAAAAGTAGACTTCACACTCCACAGGAGGAAGAATGTTGCAGATTGTCCATCTGCAGGGCAAAGATGAGACTGCCTTTGTTACACATGGTCCACAGCCCACCTCCAAACACCAAATGTCATTTCTTTTCTAAATGTTTTCCAAACTGTAATGCATACTTCAGTGCCAGAGAAAATTGTGTTCCTCTGAGGACAGGTTTTGTCCTTTAGTTCCTTGTGCAGGGAGAAGCAGTCATCCCAGAGCCTCATTGCTGATATGAAGTATAATCAGAGGCAGGGATGCACCTCATCCCTGCAGAGCAGGAGTGCCAGTGAGTGAGCTGTCTGTGTGGCTTCCATAACTGGGCCACACTGGTTGAGACTATCCAAGAAATAGTAGTGGAGAGCAGCCATCTGTAGGGCTACCAGGAGTAGCCTTGGTTTCTGAAAGGTAAGCTTGAAAAGCGCTGCCAACCATTATGAAGAACAAAACTGGAAAGCACGCATCTTCTTCTGCTGTTTTCTCATAATGTGAACTAATCTCTGCTACATCATAGCCCTATCTTATTTTTTTTTTTCTTTTTTTTTCTTTCATTTTTTAAATAACCATAGTTCATTCTGGTTGTGGCCACAAGAGCATAGTTTACTTTTCAGACCACTGGTGTCAATTTAACTTGAATCAAAGAGCTTGCAACTACCCAAGACAGTGAGAAGAAAGAGGAAACTCTGCTTGTGCTGCAAAACTTTGAAATGCTAAAAATGCTTGGATAGCTGCATAGTGAGCACAAAATGACCAGTGCTGTCTTATTCATTTAGCAGTCCTGCCATCATGCTACTATGACACAAGAGTTTACTGAGGTTTGGATGCTAAAAAAAAAAACCTCAAGAACCCCAAGGCCCTCAATTTAAATAAAATAATTACTGGAGATCCTTACATAGGTCCTGCTACCACATTATGACCACTTCACAGTCCTCTGCATTAACTTCTGTTAGGTTTTGTCAGCGACCTGTCTGTCCTCCCTGTTCTGTGGTGGCAGGGGTGAGGAGGCGAGCCTGGAGGTTGGGGGGGTGAGCTGCATCTCCAGCTGAGCAGAGGTGTGTCCAACCTCTGCCGAGCTGAGCCCCAGTGCACAGCCCAGCAGCTGCTCCATCTCTCTAATGGATGGTGCAAATTCAAGAGCCCTGTGGTGCTCATGGCAGCAGGGGTTTTGTCATGCTCTTTAGGGAGGACAAGGTCAGAGCTGGTACATGGGTAGTGATGTGGGTCCAGGCATCCCGCACCAAGCAAAGGGTGCCAGAACAGGTTGTAAAACCAGCAACACGTGCTAATGTGAACAAACACACCCATTTACAGTCCAAAGGACAGTCTGCCTTTCTGCCTTCTAGGATCCCAGTTCTGGCTTCAGTCCCCTGCCCTCCATTTCCCCCAGCTAGACTGCTTTGAAACCACGATCATGGTTTTCTTCTTGTTTTCATGTGGGGTGAAGTTAGATGCCTGTAATATCACGTGCTATGAAGTTTGCCTCACTTTCCTTGTGAAAGAGGGACTCCTACAAACTCAGAAGAGTAGCCCTTTTTATTGCACTTTCCTAGCCCAACTCCTTCTCTGTGATCCCATGTTCAGGTCAGTGTGGGCCTGCAGTTATAAAAGTGGAAATTTTGGTTTTCCTTGTCCAGCATTCCATCCTTTGCATTATAAGCATGCACTGAAATGTGTGGTAGTGAGTGACTGCAGGTCAGGATGGAACACACTTCCTGCACTGTAAGAGGAAAGAGATCATTTCCAGATCGGCTCACAGAGAAGCTCTCTGCAGCGTGCTCTCCAAGGATGGTAATCACTTCTGCATCGTGATCCAGCAGGAGGGCTTAGCGCCTAAATGGTGAAGTCCTTTGAGGATTAAATGGTAGACAGACCTTCTGTTGCCTTGGCATGTAGCTGGATTTTACCCTGAGAGTTTCCTCCTGTTGCACACTTTTCAGCTTGCTAGAGGTTGAATTGCTTTCACGATTTGCCTTCTTTCACAGCTTTCTTTTCTCCTCCTTTTGTTTGAGAATTCTGCTTTCTTCAATGTATTTTATAGAGTGTGCTACTCCAGAAACTTCTAGACTTTTCTGTATAACTATCACATAACTCAAAATATTTTGAATGGGAGTGAAGAGAGGGATGGTGAGAGGGTAGAAGAGAAAGGAGAATTTGTTACTCAAAAATTTGTTTAGAAACAAATATATTTTTCAGTCTCTAGTTTGGATTTATAATTCATGCAGACAAAGAGGATGAACCAAAACCAGCTGGTGCTTCTGTTCTTATTCCCACTGATGGCAGAGGGAGCCTTGCAGTCAGTGGCACTGGACGAGAACCCTAAGGAGAAGAAGGGGATTTGCAGCACATTTCATGTACCCATTCCCTCTACAAGTGCCCTGCCCAGAGCATTTGCAGCACGTATACAGCTTTATCCTGGATGACATATTGTGACAATCTGATGAACCAAGCAGCACAGAAATCATGTCGTCTTCCTGTGACTCTATTTAACAGCTGCATTTGAAATGTATGTTGAAAGCATAAATTCCATAATTGATTGGACATTTCCTGCAACATGATCAAATTTGATTTAGAGGAATTGCCTCTCAAACACATTGTGGACTCAACTGTCTAGTCTCATTTCTCCAACGGTATATAATAATTATTTTTCTGTGATTGTTTGTTACACATTTCACAAATGATGGCTTTGAAAGACATCCCAAGCAGATATGTATGTTTCTCATTATCACAACCTGTGTAACTCATGTGTGCAATATTTTATAAAATAAAAAGATATCAGAAAATGATAATACTAATTTTGTTTTCTCTGTTCATTTCCTCTTCAGACATTAGATTTGTTTCTGAAAATGGATGCAGTTTATCCTATTAAAACAGCTTTAATGCAGCTTTAATATCACAAAGGTTTACTGTAGGCAATTGCAGTTATGTTAGCCTATTATGTATGCTCAAAGGCATGTTGTTTTGATGGGTTAAACTGGGTGCTGTAGGGACACATTAAGAGACTATAGAGTGAACGAGATGCTTCAAACAAAGCAGCCTGTCAATTGCTTTGGAGGAGGCCATTTTGCAGGACACCATCCAGCTTAGAGCGAGAGAAGATTGAGGTCTCCGCACGGCGGGTCCCTGTCCTGGCACTAAAGATGTGATGAGGACAGAAGGGAGGATGTTTTTACAGCAGTGTGGGTTGGAGTCTGTTGACCACTTTCCCAGTGTGAAAGATGTCTCATGTAGATGGGAATGACATCTGCCTCCCTCCTGATTTTTGCTGGAATTTGGGCCTGGATTCTGATCTCACACCTAGATGTGCTGGGAATTAAAGTGAGGTATAAAATCAAAGGGAAATTGAGTTTACTGTCTGTAGAACACAGCTGAGAAAAGCTTGTCACTGATGGGTTTATCTAAAAAGTCGTAACTCCTTTTTCGGCACATGATTATTGAACGTGAACTCATTCAGCAAATCTGTGGGAATTTTAACTATTTTGAAGCTCATTGAAAATATTTGACAATCAGAACTGGGGAGTACACTCAAACTTCCTGACTACAATTATCCAGGCAAAACATGAAGTGCATTCTTCCTATTTTTTTTCCTTTTGTCCAAATACAATGTAAAATATTTTCTGTAAATAGTATTGCTTGAAATCTTAGAAAAAATGAAGTGTTTTGTAAATATTGTCCTCATTGAGAAAGTCAATAATAAACTAGGAAAAGAGTTATGTTTTTGTCTTTTCAATTGGGGTGAATCATATTGAAAGGACTCATACATGCCAAGCTTTTTCAAGGCACAAGGAGAAGCGGGCCCCTCATTTCCCATCACAAAAACAAGTGGGTTTTGAATCTTTAGAGACACATTTTTTTTTAGCCTGGGCTAAAAGGTTGATCCTATGACAGAACCCATCATCGTCAGCAGTGCAATTGCTGCCACACTCCCCTCCCTCCAAAACCCCTCTGAGATCATCTGAACCAGCTGGCGCTAGCAGACGTCCCCAGCATCATGAGTCACCCCGAGTAGTTTGGGTACCACAGCAGTAACGTCGACCATCCTGCATGAACAGTGAGAGTAACATGTGGCTGGGGAGAGCAGAAGCGTGTAATGGATTACTTAACTATTTTCCCTTGTTATTTAATTATTTATTTTCCCCTAGCTTTTATCATGAATGCACGTGTCAGTATTTGTGTGGGTGTGTATGGGAACAGGCAGGGTGAGGAAGCACGCTTTGTGTGTGGGGAGAGAGAGGTTTCAGTCAGTCCCCTGAGCAAAT